CTTCGTTAACTACTATTTGGCTGTCAGATCCCAGGTTAAATGTCCTGTTTCTTCAGGAGCATCTTTTCCAATTTTCCAAAACTGAGTTATACTCTCCTTACATGTACCATTGGACTTTATACTCACTTTTGTAATAGCATCTCAGTATTGCCTCTTTACTACAAAATTGCTTCTATATGGCCCTGCATCCTAAAATGACCAGTGACATGAATAATTAAACCAGGGGTTTAATCAGGCGTAACTAATGAGGAGTAAATGTCCTTTCTGGAAATTCAAACTAAAAGGCAAGACAAGTGCCAGTTGGTGGTTAGTGCTATTGCTAAGGGCAGTGGTGTACAATTCAGGCAGGCAGTCATTTACAATGTTAATGAGCCAAGAAAGCTGTCAAAAAGCTAGAGAAGAATCAAAGAGGATCTAGGCCCATGGTGGGGTGGGGGGAGTCCCCTGGTATCATTTACTGATAACCAAGGTCCAGTGCTTAATAGTCCTTAGATTTCCAAAAGAATTACATATTTTTAAAAATTTTTTGAATTAATTAATTATGTATTTACTGGCTGTGCTCCATCTTCATTTTGCTCTTGGACTTTCTCTCCTTGCAGCAAGCAAGCTCTCGGGCTACTCTCTAGTTGCATTGTGAGGGCTTCTCATTGTGGCGGCTTGTCTTCCTGCAGCTCCAGGTTCTGGCCCGGCCCGCGGGTTCAATTGTCATGGCATGTGTGCTTAGTCGCTTCGTGGCATGTGGGTTCTTCGCCGACCCAGGATCGAACCAGTGTTTCCTTCATTGCAAGGCCCGATTCTTAACCAGTGGACCACCAGAGAAGTCAGAATTATGAATTCTTAAAACACTGCCCCTACAGATAGCACCCACCATAAAACACACACACACATATACATACAAGGGCATAAGTTAATCAATACTTTACAAACAAAGCTCTTGCCTCTTTGGGTGCAAGGAAGTGATATCCTCTAGCAAACTTTTGTCACAATGTATTGTTTTTATCTCCCAATACCATTAAAATTTGTTAGTTCTCCATCTCTGCCTTTCTGCCACTGTAGAACAAAGCCCACCATGCATCTATGAACAACTGAAAGAGGAAAAAATAAGTGAAGGCAAGAATGAATGAGGGAATTACCAGTATTCAGACTAATTTAATTGGAGAAGGAAATGGTAACCCACTCCAGCGTTCTCGCCTGCAGAATCCTAGGGACAGCAGAGCCTGGTGGGCTGCCGTCTATGGGGTCGCACATGGTCAGACACGACTGAAGCGATTTAGCAGCAGCAGCAGCAGACGAATTTAAAGGCTGACTTGTGTTTAAAGCAATAAAAAAAAAAAAAAATCAAATAGACTTTAATTAGCATGAAAGAATTCTCATCTATAAACATAAAAACCCAAGAATGAGGGAAAATGGAAAAAAAAAATAGTGATGGCAGAGGTGGATATGATTCATCAAGGGACTGAGAGACTACAAGCTGCCTGTAAAAGCATTTTGACTCCCACAAAAGGTAAGCTTAAGCTTAAAAATGATCACGGACTACTAGAGTTTTTATGACCTGTCAGGATGGAAATGTTTCAGCTGTACTCTGAGAGAACACGTGTATGAACGCTGCACACTATACGTGTGGCTTGTAGGAGGCTTATGTGTAGATCATCTCAATGAACTTTTTATGCATCTGCATGAAAATCACTATTAAAGCAAGGAAAATGCTGATAAAAAACACATTAACATTCCTTTAGCTTCAAGGAAAAGTCTTGATATCTAGTCATTAACCATGCAATCTGCCCTCAGACATCCTTCTGCCTTAATATGCTAAAGAGAAAAATGTCTTCTGAGGACAATGTTTTTTAATTCTTTATGCTTTGCTGCTCTGCTGTAAAGTCCTAATTCCTGTGAATGCAAACACTCGTTAACTCACAAGAGCTGCTATTAGCTATCTGGAATCAAATGAATATAAAGGGGAAAAAAAGGGCAACGCTTAATTTCAAAAAAATAAAAGGGGTTTTGTTATGTTGTGAAGGCTGTGTTTGTTGGGTTTCTATTTGCTCCTTTGGCTATCTATAGAACAAACAGAGGTTAACTTTTTTGAAAGTAATATCAATTTTGTATTCCAATCAAAGACTGCATTAATATCAAGCTCTACTATTTATATTTCTCTGAGTTTTCTGTATCTTAAAATATCTTGTTTCTATAACAGACTGTTGTTTTTCTTTTAGAAAGGAAGGTAGAAGAAGGGAGGAAGCTTCACTGACATTTTCCAGTTTGAATTCTTTCATGTCTTTTCAGTTTGAAGAGCTCAAAGTAATGTGATATCTCTTATTTTAACTTCATATTTAATACCAGTTCATGTGTTCTAGCTGTATATACTATTTTCCATATCAAGAAAGATTATGCCCCTGTAATATTTACTTCATCTTCTTTATTCTTTCTATAGGGAGCATTCAAAGATGACCTTTAGTTGCTCTCTGACTGATAAAATTACTTTTGCACAAAAGTGACTTTCAGAAAGTATTACCTCATCATAGCAGATTAACATAATAACCTAGGCTCCTTTTAAATCACATGATATTATTTACAAGATCAAGTAAAGGTTTCCTGCTACTCTCATTTTTGTCTCTGTCCAAAATAGAATATAATTCAATTTTCCTATTTGTAAATAGATAGAAAAATGTGACTTAATCCCCTTACTACAATGTAACCTGACACACAAATGGCAAAAAAGTAAAAGCTAGTAATACAGAAAAATCTTATTAAGCTGTAAAAGCTGTGGAACGTATAAATTCAGCCAACATATTAGTAAAAGTACTATAGGAAAGAACTTATGCTAATTGACTGCTGGTTTGAATTGCCAACAGGGTTGTGTGTATGTTTCTGTGTTTCTGTTACCGTTGCTGATTTAAACATTTATAACATCTACTCAAAAAGTAAAATTAATTTCTAGATTTCTTCTTCACTAGTACTAGAAATTGTGATGAACACATATGTATTTGAGCAAATTAAAAAAAATTAATTTTGTGTTACTGTTTCATAATATAAATCAAAAGCCAATATCATGGGGAAAACTTTCTGATTGCTAAAGCATATTTTGTGAAAAATATAACTGTACCCAATTTAGAGAATTTCAGATTTAAAATAATAATACAAAACAGAAAAAAAAAAAGAATTCTTAAAGAATATATGTTATACCTTTTCCCTGATTTGTCCAAACACACTGGAGTCAATTCTATGTGCTTCTGTAGAAATATATGCACGTACTACCTACCACTGACCCCCAATCATCACTGTCAGGGAAGTAATGCTAATCTGAATTGAAAGACTCTAGGCCACTAATTAAAATATGTGATTGAGTGGAAAGAGCCACTGTGAGTGCCAACATCACCACAAACTTACTCTATGTGGCTGAAGTAATTTAAGAATTAGGTTTAAATATCATAGGTCTCTTAAATCTCAAGGCTATGGTTTTTCCAGTAGTCATGTATGGATGTGAGAGTTGGACTATAAAGAAAGCTGAGTGCAGAAGAATTGATGCTTTTAAACTGTGGTGTTGGAGAAGACTCTTGAGAGTCCATTGGACTGCAAAGAGATCCAACCAGTCCTTCCTAAAGGAGATCAGTCCTGGCTGTTCACAGGAAGGACTGATGTTGAAGCTGAAACTCCAATACTTTGGCTACCTCATGCAAAGAGCTGACTCATTTGAAAAGACCCTGATGCTGGGAAAGATTGAGGGCAGGAGGAGAGGGGGATGACAGAGGATGAGAGGGTTGGATGGCATCACTGACTCAATAGACATGGGTTTGGGTGGACTCCGGGAATTGGTGATGGACAGGGAGGCCTGGGTGCTGCGGTTCATGGGGTTGCAGATTTGGACACGACTGAGCAACTGAACTGAACTTAAATCTCAAATTGATAAAAAGGTGATGAATAACCCTTAGTCCCTGAACTAAAATACAGTATTCCAACATATTTTATCAGAGAGTTCTTTCATGGTGCTCAGAAGATAAGCCCAGCTAATATAGTGGCATTTCAGTTTCCTTAGACAGTATTTCCTGTATTATTAAATTACGGTGTAGGAGATGTGAGTGTCTTTTGGGATAAAGCTTGATACTCATGGTTCCACCTGCCAGATGTTTCTCAACCTCTTTCATGTTGCAGACACAAAGAAAATTATAAATAAAGTATTTATATAAATAGTGTGTATACATAATAAGCACATAAGTATTAAATAATATTTGTATATGTTATTTTATAATACATTATACATATTATGTTCCCTGAGAGAAATTAGAGGGATAAGAGTGTCTTCATAAAGTTTGATGAGTGAAAAGAAAAAACTCTATTGACTAAATATTATGTAAAGATAAAAAATATATATATGAAGTACTGAGAAAAAGACTAAAACTGGATTTTCTAAAAATATTATATAATTTTCCTCATTGGAACTTCCAAGGCTGGTTGTCTCACACTGTACTTGCCAGTTGAAGAGACAATAATAAAAATAAAGCACTTTCCAACATTTCCATTAAAAAATTTGGTTGCTTCTGCAACCATCACTTTCCTATCAGGATGGACTCTTTAAATGACTACACACAATTCCTCACCAAGATGTTTTCACCATAATCTCCTCAAAAATCTTTCCACTTTCTACTGATGGAAATAGTTTTTCAAACAGAGGATCAGAAATGTTAAAATGTGTCTTTTACAACCATTCAAATTTACAACCGTTGACATGGTCACTAAGAGTAACTTTAAACTTCCTGTGAAAATATTTCAAACCACATCAGAAATTTAAAGTCAAACATTTTGAAATAGCGATGAGGTTCTAATGTAGAACAAGCATGCACTGTTCAACAACAGGTCAGTATCTCACTGGCTGCAAACATCGGCCGCAATGAGCGAATGCAGAGGTCTATGAGAAGACACGCTTGGGGCACAGCCTGGGGCCGAGCCTCCCCGGGGCCCCTACCCAGCCACCCCCAGCCCTCTCTCCCCACCGCTGGCCGCACCTTGGGCTGAGATCTGAGCTCCATGGGCACCTGGACCACGAACTCCTCTGGAAGCTCCACGGGGCCCTGGTCCGCGATGGGCACTGGCGCGCTCCGCAGCTGGCTGCTGAAGGAGGTGTCTTGGAGGTAGAGCGCCTCCTGGGCCGCGCTCAGCATGTCGCAGTGGAGACGCGAGGGCTGGATGTCGTTCACTGTGCTTGCCACCTGCGGGGACCGCAGGGCGCACCATCAGACTCCGCTCAGCTCAGGCCGGCCTCAGAGGAGCCCTGCTGGGGCTATTCCCAAGGCTGCTCTCTGCTGCGGGCCCGAGGCCCTGGATGCCACCACCCCAGGCCCACAGACAACCCAGGACCTCAGGAGCTCACATCTCCTGGCTGCTAGTGCGATATGGACTGTGTAACTCTGTCCTAGTTAATCACGATCTTAAGTAAGCCAAAAACCTCATCCTAACTCCTAACAACGATTAGAAAATTAACTGTAATGATCGAAAGCAGAGAAAGCTGCCTGAAAAACATAATGATTATATTTGTTATAGATTCACAACATTCTGTTATAATTGATGGGCACTCATGTCTGTGTCAATGGAAATATTGGTTATTGAATTAAATATTTACACACAAAAAGCTTGATATAGTATACTGGGTGAAGAAACTTTCAGAAAGTTTTTTTATTAGTTTTGTTTGTTGAGATGTTACATGGATTATTTTATATTTATTTATATGTTTCAGGTTATTTAATGTTTTTGGAAAGATGCTGTATTACGGTTTGTGGTGGACATTAGGATGAAAAAGATATACATACATTTTTGCCATATATATACACAGTGATTTTACTAACAAATGATACATATTACATAAATGGATAAATATGGAAGACCAAGACAATAATGAAAAAATAAAATTACACACACATGACTACTTTTTAATATTCACAGAACAGTCATACATTTTATGCTATGAAAAACAGAGCAATTTAAGTACAGGAGTTCTTTTTTGTGTGTGTGGCTTGGTATAGATACACTTTTCTATACTAATTGCAACTAGTGTAATAAATAGGAGTGATACCGATAATGTTCCTGCTAAAAGAAAGAAAAAGACTTTACAAGGAAAACAATTTTGCATTACACAATTATTATAACATATTATAACATGCATATTAAAACCATGATAATGATACTATATGGCTACCATTCAACAATCAGGAGAGAAACTAAGAAGTCTGATAAAGTAAGAGAATTTTATAATCATCTTTCTAACACTAGAAGCTTATACAGACGTGCTAAAGTTATTTGGTGTCTAAAGTATTTCAAAATTAAGAGTGAAAAACACATTCTCCTCCAAATCATGACAAATGACACAGCCCTTATAAAAAGCAAAAATGATATTAAGAAATTTGTCAAACAATCCATCTACAATGAAAAAGTTTAAAATATATCTTCAAGGCACCACCCTAAAACAAATTTTTATTTAAACTCATTATAATGTATGTACACTAAAATATCTAGCCAAAAGGTAATCTGAATGCTATTTTCACAGTTTGTGTGAATGAAAATGTATCAAAAGAAGTAACAAGATTTAAACCCAAATACAGCTGTGCCAAAAATTAAAATATCTAAAAAGCCACCTCCAATGTCATCTTTTCCAATCTTTCAACTTGCAAAATATCATTCTCCTTGTACCCAAGTTGACAATGTGACTATTTTTCTATTATTCTTACATGAATATGTGCATACTCAGTTGCTCAATCATGTCTGATTCTTTGTGACCCTGTGGACTGTAACCCACCAGGCTCCTCTGTCTATGGGATTTCCCAGGCAAGATTACTGGAATGGGTTGCCATTTCCTTCTCTAGGGGATCTTTCTGGCCCAGGGATGAAACCCATGTCTCGACCTGTGTCTCCTACACTGGGGGCAAATTCTTTTTTTTTTTGGGGGGGAGGTGCGGGGGCGGCAAATTCTTTACTGCTGAGCCACCAGGGCAGGGCCACATGAACATATACAGGTATATTTTCCCTAAAATCTTTATGGTCTATGGAAGGAAATTAGGAAAAAGATTATGAAGCTATTACATATCCTTCAAGCTTCAGTTATAATAAAGTTGAGAGATTTTGCCCTCAGCCAAATTAACAAATAAGAAGATCTGGAGTGAGGGACCATGCATTTACTTGTTCATTCATTCAACAATTCTGAAATTATTTGTTCTAGTTCTGTGAAGAATACCATTGGTAGCTTGATAGGGATTGCATTGAATCTATAGATTACTTTGGGCAAAATACTCATTTTCACAATGTTGATTCTTCCAATCTGTGAACATGGTATATTTCTCCATCTATTTGTGTCCTCTTTGATTTCTTTCATCAGTGTTTTATAGTTTTCTATGTATAGGGATATGTATTTTCAGATATTAAAGAATCCTTGCATTCCTGAGATAAAGCCCACTTGGTCAAGATGTATGATCTTTTTAATATGTTGTTGGATTCTGTTTGCCAGAATTTTGTTAAGAATTTTTGCATCTATGTTCATCAATGATATTGGCCTGTAGTTTTCTTTTTTTGTGGCATCCTTGTCTGGTTTTGGTATTAGGGTGATGATGGCCTCATAGAATGAGTTTGGAAGTTTACATTCTTCTGCAATTTTCTGGAAGTGTTTGAGTAAGATAGGTGTTAGCTTTTCTCAAAATTTTTGGTAGAATTCAGCTGTGAAGCCATCTGGTCCTGGGCTTTTATTTGCTGGAAGATTTCTGGTTATAGTTTCGATTTCCGTGCTTGTGATGGGTCCGTTAAGATCTTTTATTTCTTCCTGGTTCAGTTTTGGAAAGTTAACTTTTCTAGGAATTTGTCCATTTCTTCCAAGTTGTCCATTTTATTGGCATATAGCTGCTGGTAGTAATCTCTTATGATCCTTTGTATTTCAGTGTTGTCTGTTGTGATCTCTCCATTTTCATTTCAAATTTTGTTAATTTGGTTCTTCCCCCTTTGTTTCTTGATGAGTCTGGCTAATGGTTTGTCAATTTGTTTATCTATTCAAAAAACCAGCTTTTAGCTTTGTTGCTTTTTGCTATGGTCTCTTTTGTTGCTTTTGCATTTATTTCTGCCCTAGTTTTTAAGATTTCTTTCCTTCTACTAACCCTGGGGTTCTGCATTTCTTCCTTCTCTAGTTGCTTTAGGTGTAGAGCTAGGTTATTTATTTAACTTTTTTCTTTTCTTGAGGTAAGCCTGTAATGCTATTAACCTTCCCCTTAGAACTGCTTTTACAGTGTCTCATAGTTTTGGGTTTCTGTGTTTTCATTTTCATTTGTTTCTATGCATATTTTGATTTCTTTTTTGATTTCTTGACCAGACGGACCTTTGTTGGCAAAGTAATGCCTCTGCTTTTTAACATGCTGTCTAGGTTGGTCATAAAGTTCCTTCCAAGGAGTAAGCGTCTTTTAATTTCATGGCTGCAATCACCATCTGCAGTGATTTTGGAGCCCAGAAAAATAAAGTCAGCCACGGTTTCTGCTGTTTCCCCATCTATTTGCCGTGAAATGATGGGACCGGATGCCATGATCCTAGTTTTCTGAATGTTGAGCTTTAAGCCAACTTTTTCACTCTCCTCTTTCACTTTCATCAAGAGGCTCTTTAGTTATTCTTTACTTTCTTCCATAAGGTTGGTGTCATCTGCATATCTGAGGTGATTGATATTTCCCCCAGTAATCTTGATTTCAGCTTTTGCTTCTTCCAGTCCAGCTTTGCTCATGATGTACTCTGCATAAAATTTAAATAAGAAGGGTGACAACATACAGCTTTGATGTACTCCTTTTCCTGTTTGGAACCAGTCTGTTGTTCCATGTCCAGTTCTAACTGTTGCTTCTTGACCTGCATATAGATTTCTCAAGAGGCAGGTCAGGTGGTCTGGTATTCCCATCTCTTTCAGAATTTTCCACAGTTTATTGTGATCCACACAGTCAAAGGCTTTGGTATAGTCAATAAAGCTATAGATGTTTTTTGGGGAACTCTCTTGGTTTTTCAGTGATCCAGTGGATGTTGGCAATTTGGTCTTATTTCCTCTGCCTTTTCTAAAACCAGGTTGAAAATCTGGAATTTCACCATTCACATATTGCTGAAGCCTGGCTTGGAGAATTTTGAGCATTACTTTACTAGTGTGTGAGATGAATGCAATTGTTAGGTAGTTTGAGCATTCTTTGGCATTGCCTTTTTTTGGGATTGGAATGAAAACTGACATTTTCCAGTCCTGTGGCCACCACTGAGTTTTCCAAATTTGCTGGCATATTGAGTGCAGCACTTCCACAGCATCATCTTTTAAGATCTGAAATAGTTCAACTGGAATTCCATCACCTCCACTAGCTTTGTTCATAATAATGCTTTCTAAGGCCCACTTGACTTCACATTCCAGGATGTCTGGCTCTAGGTGGGTGATCACACCATCGTAATTATCTGGGTTGTGAAGATCTTTTTTGTACAGGTCTTCTGTGTATTCTTGCCACCTCTTCTTAATGTCTTCTGCTTTTGCTAGGTCCGTACCATTTCTGTCCTTTAGTGAGCCCACCTTTGCATGAAATGCTCCCTTAGTATCTCTAATTTTCTTAGAACAGAGGTAAAATCTTAATTTTTAAATTTTTTTTTATTTTTTTAGTTTTGCTTCTAAAAATAGTGTATATATTATCCTTAAGGTATTATATATATATTCTGGGGAAATATTTGAGTTATAAATATAAACCTAATTTTTCTTCCTGAGACTATTATAAAACTAAGTCTTCAAGATAAATATTGCAGTTATATGTCTGGCATTCCATTAAAAATATGCAATCTCAAGTCTGGAAAGAACCCTCAACTCATACAATAGATAATAACTCTAAGATTATCTCTGCTAAAAATTGCTAAGTTTCATACGAGGAGACTGTGACTACAAATCCACTCTGTTCTTGAGCCACCCACCCAATTACATATGACGAAGCAAGTCATTCCTCATGTTGAGAAACATGGGATATCTGTACTATGGCATTCTCAACCCACTTGTCTAAATTCAATGCAAAGAGGCTATGAGCAAAACACATCAAGCTACTCCTAGAAGACACTTGTCTTCAAATATTTGGTTTTTTTTATTTCCAAGGTTTAAGCAAATACAATATTGCTTTCCTTAAATTAAACTTTACAAACTTTACTTCTTTCCTTTTCCTCTTTTTTCTAGTTCATTCTTCTATTA